ACTCACCTGGACCCCAACCATCCCTTATTTGAGACCCCGCTATTTCAACACCCAAGCTTGATTGCGGATCTGTCTCGCAAGGTAACTTGCAATGGTAATCGCCTGCAAGCTACGGGGATACCTCCTCATGTAGCCATATTGGAGAAGATGAAGTCACTGCTTGACGCCAATCTGAAGACAATGGAGCGCGTTGACGCCACTCGAGTGGCTACAGTTACGGACATAATGCGCGAATTGGAGAATCGCGCCATTGGCGCTGGTACAGTAACGTTTGATGGACTGGACGCTGCGCTAAAACGATGCCTAGATACTGCCGGTGTCACTGAACTCATTAGCAAACTCAACGTTGCCCCAGGGGATGCTTCTGTGGTGCCGGAAATCCCTCCAGGCCAGCCTTCTACTCCTTGCTTCTTTTGGGATGGCCGATTCCGCCGCGTTCCGGCTGACTTCAAGCTCTGTGAGTGCTCCGTTGAAAAGCTGTGGGTGCTGTGGCAATGTGGTAACACCAGCAAAAACATACCACCTCCTCCGAGTGTTGGACGGCCGTGACATGCCGACCCGGAATCTGCAAAAGCGTCTTAGCGACGTACGCTACCTGATGAGTATAGTTGAGGATAGAGCAAAGCGTACCGGAGTATACGGCGTTCACCAAACCGTCGAGGATGCTGTGAAGACGTTTAGTGCATGCGCTGACAGCGTTGACGTACCCCCTCGCACCAGCACGGCCAGGAAGCGGCGAAGAGGCCAGCTCAGCTGGACGACTGTAGTAGCACTGAATCGGAAAAGCCGCAAGTGCAGCAGCGACAGCTAACTCAAATTTTTAGTTTTCTTTTTCTTGTCTTTTGATTGGCTATTCTACATTCATTGTCAAAGTCCTACCAATGTCCTATAAAATCCGTATAACAATCAATTATAATACCGTAGCCATAAATTAACCATTATGCCCACAAACAGCCGTAAATTAGAACACCACAAGGACGGGCCATTTTCACGCGGGAAACGGTGTTTACCATAGGTGTGCGACTGCGTGCTCATTTCATAGTACTGTATGTACTTCAAGCAAAAGCTTGTGCAGCTGTACATCCCCGTGGAGAGTGCATTTCGCTTCACTTTTCGTGCTTGCAGAGCACTCTCTTTCGTTACCGGTATTACAATTATATAAATATTCATTCTAGTTTGAAAAATCGCAGCACAAGTTGGCACAAATGTGATAAATTTGAGGAATACGTCGCTGTTCGCAGCTTTCCCTAGTTAGATGCGATATCACCGGAAGGATTTCACCATAGTTCATAGAACGCTTTCTCGTGTAGTTTGTTGAGACGTGGCCTTCTTTCATGTATTAATACTTGTACTGGACGTGCTCAGTGTCCATTCTTTTTTTCTGTAGTGTCAGCTACAATGATACCAAGGGATCTAAATCAATGACAAATATTGTGGGTTCTACTCAAAATTGGACAGGACGGTTCTTTGAATGAATCTCCCCAAATCGCCCAGCGTTTACCGTTTACTGACCCGTTTAAGTACGAAATAAGGTGGCAAGAAAAGACTTGGTGGGTTTTACTAATGACTTGGGTTTGTATGTGGGCGATTGTCCTCCCGCTTCTCAAACAGACCCAAGTCGGCAAATTTGGACGGAATTCACAATACTGAAGTGTCAGCGACACTGATACAAAGGGATCTAAACCAGCACATAAATCACGGTCGTCTTTTTTCGTGAAGGCTCAAGAAAATGGATCACTGCTTTGACTCGCGATTTTAGTATAGCTCGATTTTTTTACGGATTAGCACACGTTCCGTAATCCTGGTTTACATATTGATTTGAAGCTACATGGGCGTTTAGTCTGATACAAAAGTACTATTAATGGCAGCGTCGAGTGCGCTTCTTCCCTCCAAGTTGTATCACGAGATCGGCTCCAGTGGACAGAAAAGGTCAATACGTTAAGAGTGTTACAGTGGTGCACCTCGTTTTCGACACCGGTATGCCTCTATAACCTTCAAAATTTTGGGAAAATGACAAAACCTGCCTATTATCAGAGGCAAAGTGACAGAACCTGCCTATCTAACAGGCATCTTAACAGGCCCTAACCGCCCCTAGCGCCTTTGAGACTGTTAAGTGTTAGAATCCCAAAACCGACGCTGTCCACCAACCCACACGGTCACTGCACTTGGAAAATTGTATCATCGACGCGATCGCACTCGTCTGGAAGATGAGGGAACCAAGTGAAGAAGTGCTCAGAGTGGGTGACGAGTTTTCGTCATCTAAGACGGCTTTACACGCAATTCAAGACTACGCCCTCGCAGAAAGAAAACGTGTCGTAGTTGACAGCCAAGGTGGTGGGCACAAGCTCGTGGCGTGTTCATCGAAGACATGCAACTTCTTCGTGCGATTATACAAGCGGAAAAACTCCTCGGACGACGGTGTCTCGCCTCCGTGGTACATCTCCTTCATGAAACTGGAACACATGAATTGCACTTCTCAGCCCAAGCCCACCCAGCGTCAAGTAGCGGAAATGAGCGCCCTTCGAGCCGCTGTCTTAGCGGACGCGTCTGTGAGTGGGAAATCTTTAATCAAGCAAGTCCAGGCTATCAACATGGTTAACTTAGCCAAGCAGAAACGCATGGTGTATCGCGCGGCTGACGCAATTAAAGAAAATGCTCAAGGTGATGTCACAGCGTCTTTTACGAAGATTCCAGGATTACTACGCGCGTTTAAGAACGTGAACCCGGGGTCTCACGCCTGCTGTGAAGTAGATGATGTAGGGCGCTTTGACCGAGCTGTTGTAGTGCCAGCTACTTCTTCTCGTGCTGAGGGTCACCTTCAGAAAATTGTTGGATTAGATGGTGCTCATTCCAAACATCAGCGTTATAACGGAACTATGCTTCTACTGATCGGACGTGATGGAAATATGGAAAACGTAACACTTGCTGTAGCTCTTGTGAAGAAAGAGACGATGAAGAATTACGAATGGTTTTTCCAGCAATGTTGCCTCGGTGGTCTGAAGTTTGCTTACCCTCTGATGTCGGATAGAAATACTGGATTGATTGATGTGTGTAAACAGCGTGGCATCGACCACAAGTACTGCACTCTTCACATTCAACGAAATGTGATTGCTACTTTTACGAAGTTTACTGTTAAACAGAAAGCTTTGGTTTGGCGTATCCAATCTTGTACTAGTATGGAAATAGGTCTCCAGGCTCGCTGTCTCTCCAACCTCTGCGTCGGCAGCTTCCTCCCCCTCCTCATCTAGCAGCTCAAGCGGCGTCTTCGCTACGCGGCCAATCGGAGCTGCGTCGGCAGCAAGAGGAAAGTTCCCCCTCTTGCAGACCTTCATCGTCGCCGCGTGATAGCAGCGCTTCGAGTCCCGCACTGGCGCACGCCGATCCATCCGAAACTTTTTGCGCGATTTGGATACCGTCCAGTCAACACGTCTCGGTCGACGCTTCTTGTCTTTGG